ATTAAAACCGTTGCTTGCTGCAGTAAAGGAGCTAGCAACAGTTCCACTTTGAAGTTCTTACGTTTTTATAGCACAAATTAAATCAAAAGTGTTGTTGACCGTTATAAAACTAGAAATAATTTTTTAATCGCAAAAAAAATTTTAGGAATTGAAGCCTGGTTGCTGAAACAACTGTAATTCACCAAGATCGCTACAAAAAAAATGCTTGCAATTTTGTTACTAGCGGCAGCAATATCAATTTCCAATGGTAAGCGTATTTTTTCCTGTAAATTTAGCTTTTATAATCAACTTCCGCAAAAAAAAAAAAAAATTGTTGAGATTTCTAAAAAGTGTTATTTGTTATACAGCTTTCTAAACAGACTTGCTTAATGTATTCGGGATTATTAAAGTCAGTTTAAACCTGCATTTCTCAGTTTTTTTTAATTTATCGTTCTCTTTCATGAACCAATTTTTATTGCAGCTCCTCCGCCAAAGTATTTTCTTTACTCTATCTTATCTCTCTTATCTTGATAGTTGCTTACCACTTTTATATTTGCTTTCAAACTTATTAAACTAATAAAAAAGAAATAAATCTTTATTTAAAACTTTATTAACACTGAAATAATATTATTGTTTTGTTTTAATTATTATTATGGTTATTATTATTATCATTATTATTGCTGTTATTATTGTAAATCAGCATCAAAATTTATAAATATTATCTGACATTCTCTTCAGTTTTTCAAAAGAAGAACTAAAATAAGAAGGAAGTCAGCTGATAGAATTAAGTTTTTGACTTTCTTTAAAGCAATCTGTTGACTCGTTATGTTCTTAAAACCATCTTTTAAACTTCACTCTGTGTAACCAATATTGAATACTTTCGCTGTTTTCCAGCTCTTAGGACGTTTCTGTTATTGTTTACAGGAACTATTGGTTGAATTCACAATGAATAGAACCTTTTTTGTGTTTATTTAGATATTTGCTATTAAATCTGCATTTCAGCTTGTGAACCGTGCGAGATGATTAGTGCTGATAGCTTTGATGGTTTTACTAACGTACATGAAGTGACAGGCGCCCAATGTCAGCGCACTTACGAAGCAGTCTGTAATTGCGATGCACCTAACTGTCGGGCCACCTTCTACACTGGTCCTGGATTTACCGGTTCAGTTGCTGGATCTCTAACGGTTCAGTCACCTTCTACAGTAAAAGTTGAGTGCCCTAGTGGAAGTAGCGGATTATGGGCAACTGTAACGATGCAGGATCGGCCATTTGAAAATGTTATGTCGATGACTTGCAAGAAACCGTGACTGAACAGTAATAGGTCGTAAAAGCACCGAATTGGTTGTAATGATCCTTGAAAACACGGTGGTACTTCTTGTTTGAATACACTGTATTATGTTCGTGTTAAAACTTTCAGTCTTGTTAATTAATGATTATGTTTGTAAAACAATAAACGGAAATTTCTCAACAGTATTTTTACTGAATAATTCTTGTTATAGAAACTTCTTTTTTGCTAACATTACTACTTCTTAAATTTTTAGTATTTATTTAACAGTAAAATTATAAAAAAATACTACGAAAAATTTTACTAAAACAAATTGTCCTAGTGTAATTTACCGTTTTGTTACGTTGAGATGACATTGAAGAGCTCTCAGTCTGATATTACACAAACAGTATATAGGCCATTCCAGGCAAAATCACACAAGTTTGAACTTTGGCCTCTCATATTCTTTTCATTTTATGCCAACTTGTAGCACTTGATACCGAATTTCGAAATCGAAATAATTTACCTCAAAAAGTGCGCTAGCGGCAAAGTTAGACCGTTCTAAAGTGCGAAAAAAAACGCACTTTACCCTCGATATGGTCACGTTTAACAACTTATATGTCTCGCAGTTCACAACGGGTTTTTCTCATTTCTACTTTATTTGAAAGCTCATCTCCGGCAGATTCAGAAAAATAGTGAAACGCTTAAATTAGCAAATTTTGTTTCAGATTAAAATATAAACAAAAATTCAAAACTGTTTTTCTTGAAAAACGACATTTTAAATTTGTTAAAAAAACGTATTTTGTAAAGCAATAATTTTTACACAACACATAAAAAACACAAGGTGGTATCTTTATGGACTCAAGAGATACGGTGAGATTAGTGACAGTAGACTGGAAAAACCCTTAATTTAAGCAGCATTTTAGCGTTTTCGCAAACCTCAGAACCTCTGTTTCCACTAAAATTTTATTTGTTTTTGTAGTATATGCAATTCTTGTAAAATTTTTTAACTCTACCACTTCAGCAACAGACAATTAGCCAAAATCTACTTAATTTCAAACAATTTCACAAAAATTTTTTTAGGAGAAATTACTGTTATGACTATTTTTTTGGGTTCGTATCGCTCTGCCTGCTAACTGAACCTTTCTAACCCATATATATCGCGCTCAGTATCTTTTTTTGACTGCTGGTATTGTTTTGCTAGTTTTCTTCTCAACGCTTTCTCGTATAATGCAATGAAATTTTTTATGCATTTGACTGGCGAATCTATGCGAAAACGTGATGCTGGAAGTGCTCCTTTCCTTTCATATTTCTGTGAAAGTAATAAAATCATTACGAGTATTGTTGTTCTTCTGTTTTTGCAACAGTGCATTAATTTGAAACTTGAAGGCATGTTGAGAAGATCAGCAACGATGACCGGCATAAAAGAGAAACTTTCAGTCTAAATCCTAATTCCAGCATCACTTTTTCGCGTGAATTCGTCAGTCAAATGCATAAAGAATTTCATTACATTATACTCGAAAGCTTTGAGAGGAAAAACAGCAAAGCAATACTAGTGATCAAAAAAAAGTACTAGGTGTGATATATTTGGGTTAGAAGGGTTCAATAAGCAAGCAGTGCTATACAGACAGGGAAAAGTAATCATAATAGTAAATTTTTCTTAAAAAAATTTTTGTAAAATTGTTTTAAAGTAAATAAATTTTAACTAATTGTTTGTTACTGGAATGGTAGAGTTGAAAAGTTTTACAAGAATTACATATACTAC